CCAAGATGCGTTATGTAAAGGTACAATTCCCAATGAGAAATGTAATTGTGTTGTATACCTACAATGTACCAATAAAAGAATTTAATACAAAAATTAAAACAAGAAAATTCTCTCTCCCATCTTTGTCCACATCATTCCATGTACATATGTGAACCTTTCAAAATTGATTATCTTATTTATTTTTTATTTTCCCCAGGAGAGATGAAAATTGAAACATAAGAAAATATTCTTATTATTCCCTCCTCCTTAAACAAATGATATTTTTAAAAACATTTGGCAGCATATCCTATCATTCTTTTCATGTTAATATGTAGAGTCTCCTCATTCTTTTTACACAGCAATGTGCCAGGGTTTATTCAATAATTTTTCTGTCTTGTGTATACTTTCACTTTTCTAATCATTCAGTCTTTTAAAACAAAAGAATAATAAATATCCTTAGAATATTTGTTTTAATATGTGCAAAATGTCATATATAAAAATATACCTCTAAGATCATTTAATATCTATTGCCACATTGCTTACTATAAATTATGCCAGTTTAGACTTTACCAGCTATTTATAAAAACAATCCTTATTTTTTCAGAGTTTCATTAACAAAATGTATTGATAAAATTTTAGGTTGTTCCCTGTTTGATAATATAAAGAAACCATCACCATATCATTTCTGTTTACATTTGCCTTAGTGTGAATGAGTTTGTGTTTCTTTTCTTACACATTAGAGGCATTTGTTGCCTTTCTGAAAAGTGTTTATGTATTTGGTTCAAACACTGTTAGGATGTTGACCTTCCTCTCTCTGATTCTTATAGGTTCTAACATAGTAGGAAGAGTAGTGCCTGATTTGTTATGTAAATTCCAAGTCTTTTTGCTTTGTTGTTTGGCTTTAAAGTTTTAAAGGTATTTTGCAAATTTTTTCATTCCATTTCTAAAATTGTAGTTTTTGCATTTAAATTAATAATAAACTTAAAGTTCATTGTGTTGTATTGAGTGACAAATACAGCCCACACTATTTTATCTCTTATAGTTATAAATTATCCAGTGCTGTGATTAAAAATCTGCTTATCCCACTGCTTTGTGGATCTACAGTTTATCAGACACTAAATTCTTACATGTTTTGAGATCTATTTCTTTATTTACTATTCTACTTTTACTAATGTGTCTATTCTTGCACAATATCATATTCCTTTAATAATTGTAGAGTTTTCAGTACAACATCTAGGAAGGTCATACCCTCCTCATTTCCATGTTTATTCCTCACTTATCTTTCTGTATTTTTATCGCTTATCTGTTTTTCTTTATTACATTAGTTTATAATTCTCCTATTTTTTCAAATTAAGTAAAAGTAGGGTTACTTTTTACTTACTCAATCACAAAATTTTGGTTTATATTTCAATTTTTGATACAAATGTTAGGCGTTTTTAAACTTCAAAGTCATAAAGACTTTGTTTTCTTACATTGTTATAAATTGCTATCCCTCGAGATATAAATTACTGATCATATCACTTAGATTTTCTGTGCACTTAATTGTTGACCACCAGAATTCAGTTTCCAGAGAGGTAAATTCTTTGATTTTTATTGCATTTCTGACAGTCTTTTTAAATTTCCTATACTTTCAACTTTATGAAAGCTTCATTTTATCCAAGGTATCTTTTCACCATGTTAAGGTAAGATTTTTTTTCTTTAAATATAGGAAACTGTTCCTGAATTATCTTATTAAATATTTTTATTATTATGGTTTCATTTGAGATTTTAATTATGCATATTATACATATATTAAATTTTTTTCACTTACCCTTTTTCTATCATTCCTAGTTTGATCCCTTTTAATTTTACCTTTATATTTGTATTTCTTATTTTTGTCTTCCATGTCTCATATTGTGCTTTCTACTGTGTTCATACTTTCTTCAATAGTTGCTAATTATGTCTTTCTTTATTGTAATAGGTTTCTTCTTTTTATTTTCATCTTAAGTCCTTCCAGTCCCTTTTCACATTCCCAGGGCTTTATTTACCATCCTGTTTTGACTTGCCCGAGTTCCTAAAATTCTTTCTTCATAACTATAATTACTTTTTTAATCATTTTAAAATCAGTATTGGAATATTCAAGTATAAATTTCATCTGTTCTATGACAATATTTTTTGCCTCGTTAATTTAGTTCATCTTTAAAATTATTTTTCGCTGACATTTTCAACATTTTTCTTTACTTAATTGAAACACTGCAGGAAATGACTATATTTGTTCAATATTCATATTTCAAAAATTTTGATTTCCCTAAATCTGTTAATTTCAGGAACTTCCAAGACAACTGTGGGATGATAATGAATTTTCTCAAGGGTTTCCTCAAATCCAGGGCTCCTTCTGTTTCACCGTGAAAGACAAACTAGATAGCTGTGTACCAACTGTATAGCAGTTTTCTCTATCTCTCTGAACTTTAAGATATTTAGAGTTTTACCATCAGCCCTGTGCTCCTCAGATTTGTTCACAAGCATTGCCTATGAGGGCAGGCCCCTGCCTTCAAGGGATCCTTACTTTTACAAGTGATCTTGTTAGTGTTACTTTATGAGATCTACCACTTCTGAGGCGCTGGGAACTAGCTACCCCTTCATTTTGCATATTCTCCAGCGCTGGTGGCTGATCCTATCCCTGTTTCTAGCAACTCCCACTCAAAGAGCTGCCCTCTCCTTGCAGCTGTGCCTTTCTCCAGGCTGCTTCTGGAATCTGTCACTGCTAGGACCTCTCAGCATCCAGTTTTCCTCCATTTCTACCATTTCTTCCCAAGTTGCCTCCTGCACAACGTTTTCCTCCTCCTAATTGCTTTTATCAACACTGCCTCATAATTTGGATATGTTTTCTGCCTAGATTCACAAAAAGGAAATGACATTTCGCAGGAGTTGGGGGGGGGGGTCATTGTTTCATTTGTTTGTTTTATCTTCTACTCTTTTAAATTTCTTCTAAGAAAACCAAAAAGATTCAGAATTGAGCCGCCATCATATTCATACTAAAAGTCTGAAGATCGCAATACAGATTCACAATATTTGATCATTATAGAAATTTTGACAAACAGGAGAAATGTCAAAACAAAATGATACATAATTTTACCACACATAGACAATCATTGAGAACATTTTGGTGTTTTTTTCTTACTGTCTTTTCTATCATATGAATGGAGGCCCATTGTACATACAATTGTATATACTGATTCTTTCCTTTCATATTTTAATATACTTAAATATTAAAGAGTTGTATATTTCTAAGACTATAAGAACAAAAAAGACAAAGGGAGAGAAGACAAAATAAAATAAACCATCTTTCCATTTAATAAATAACTACATGATTCTGGTATCTCTGCGAACTCTCAATATACTGGTTCTCCACTTTCTAACCACTGAATATACAGTTTGTTCCCAGGTTTTACTATATTAAATAACACCAATAGACTAGAATATCATAAATATTATAAAATATACTTCACAATTTATAAAAATGAGATTAAACAATATGAAATCTTTCAAAACTTGATATGTACTGACATTTTCCCCCATACTTGCCTAGATGAACACTTCCAGCAATAGAATATATATTTCCATTTTGACCACATCCTTTGAACATCATCTTAACCTTGATTAGTTGATAAAATACATTCCCTTGGCTTCCCATTATATTGTTCCCATCACGTGTCAATAAGCTGTAATGATCTGAGCCAACTGCATTTTACAAGTATGATTAGAAGACATTGCTTGGCTTGCAAGTCTTTTCTGCTGTCAGATAAAAATGCTGAAAGGGAACTAGAATGATTGAATGGTTTTATGATCAGTGTCCTCTTTCCTCAAATGTAGATTACATTCACTCTATCACTGTCTGTTGGGTAATGAACTTGAAGTTATTTGCTCTGATTTTTTTAAAAAAGTAGTTGTAGGCTATGTTATACTTTCATATTAAATATTGATGAATGATAAAAAGCATTTTGGGGTCTAAATTATAGAGACAATTCCTTTAATTTTACTCTGCTTTTGACATATGGTGAGATGGGCTAGCTGCAGATAAATAATACCTTCCCACTGCCTTTCTCTTACTGCTAATAATGTCCTAACTATGCTTTACTAAGATAGTGAAATAGTCTCAGATCTTCTAAACATGAATAAAACATCTTAGTGAACCTACGTAGTTAGAACTCTCATCCAACAAAAGCTTTAGCAGCATTTTGTGTTGAAAACTTTCTTAACTTTGATTCTAGCTATACAAGAATTTAAAATTCTAAATGCAAAACATTAAACTTGAAAACCACAGTAATGCCTTATAATTTGTTTATCTAATCTAGATTTTTCATTTCAGTTGTCTACAACTGGGTCTTTGGCATTAATACAAGATTTAGACACCTACCTAAGGAAGAGATCGTATCGAATATCATCATTTGGGTTCCCTGATGGGGTTGTATAGCAATAATCCATTAATACATTCCATCTGCAGAGAGAGACAAACAGAATCTAAACTCAGAATCCCCTTTTGGATATTGGTTATTAGTCCAAAGGATGTAAATGTTGACAAATTTCTTATCACATGGAATGTATTTTTTATTACTTATTAGCAGAAGCTTCTTGTTTATTGAATTTTTTTTCTAAATGGAGCATGTTTAAAAATCTGTAACTAATTCTCATCCCCACATGTGGGGTTAAGGCTAATGCCACACATAAAATTGTATAAAAGGTAAGTAAATGGTCAAAGTCTAAAGGAAAAATACCACAAAATAAGCTGCATAAATGCTTGTATGTTTCACTATGAACAATGTTCTTTTGTTTCCAGAAGTTACTGCCTCTAGCACAAGGCAGGTGCACAAATTACACACTGGCCTCAGTGAGGGTGGAAGTCCACAACAGACACTTTGTGAGAAAGAAGAAAGCCATGAGGCAAATACACAGCCCAGCCTTCCTCCACAAAGCCAGGCTGGACCTAGGTTTATACATGGCTCATGGCTTCCTTCAGCTCTGGTTGTGAATGCCAATAATATGAAAAAATGCAAATAGGGAAGGGTAGAGGAGGTGAAGGGAGAGCAGGGGAATAGGGAAAGATTAAGAACCAAGGTACATCATATAAGGTACAAGATCACAATGATGAACATAACTGTATTGTATATCTCAAATGTACCAATAAACTTAATGGAAAAAAAATCCTGAGTTTATTAAGGCATTTCAAAAGAATCACATATATCATTGATTAAAGAAAAAGAGAAGGTAAAACAAACTAGAATTCTAGAATATATCAATCTCTTCATTATGCGAAGTTTAATAATAATATACAAGAACTCCCAAAAACAGTTTACACCTTACATTTTATAGAGCAAGATTAGACCTTCAACTTCTGGGTTTCACTTTTGTTTTGATCACTCTAAATTTTCTAAGGATTATAGAAAACTAAATTGATTTTGTTCCTTCCAGTGATGTTTCTGAATATTTATAAATATAACATTGGTCCATATCCTTATGAAAACAATTTTTAACTAAATAGTAACGTACATACAGAAAAGTACACAAATCAAAAGTGTTAAGAATGACTAATATATCTGGTTAATCATCTTTCTGATCAAAAGATAGAACATTGTGGGCATCTCAAAAAAACTCCCGATGCCTTCTTCCACCACCTTTCTTTCTCTGAGATGATTTGTTATTCTCCAATTAATGACATAAAATCAGTGTCAGCCCTTAAATTTTGTAAATTTTTCTTTCTTTTTATTAGCATGCCTAAAAGATAGAGCAATGACAGTAATTTTAAAATTGAATTTAAAAATGAATGAGCTAACTTTATGACTTGGGAGATTTAAATGTTTGAGCCAGCAAAATATAAGAGTTTGAAAGTACCTGCCATCCAGATTAGTAGCTTGTACAGCTGCAAATACTTTGGTTTTCAAAGGTAATCCTATACTTGGGATAATTAACTGTTGACTGTAGGTTGAATCCTAGTGATGAAATAATAAACAATTAATCTATCATTGCCTTGCTACGAGACACATTTACTACCTACAACAGTGTTTCAGAAAAAAAAGAGTAGGTAAATTAGCATAAATACACACAACCAACTCCCAAAAGGACTTTATTTAATCCTCTGATTTCTAGCTGAACTTCTCTTAAACTATATCCATGTAGCAAATTGATTTCTGTTGATAAATATTTTCCTTTCCATATTTGTTAATAGTCACAATTTAAATTATATTCAATGGTTAGTGGCTAATATTCAGTTTAATATTCAATAGTCAGTGTTCAGTTTTAATTAGTATTTTATTTATTAAATTATATTAGTGATAAAATTCAGTTTGTTTAAATGAAATCTATTTCAACTTAAACTCTTTACTGTTGGAGTGTGTTAGGTCTTACATTTTTGGTGATTTTTCATTCACCCAAAATCATTTATCTAGTAACTTGAAATTCCAAAACATAATTGAAATCTTAAAAAAAAAAGTTCAACACATTCTCGGAATTGCCAAAACACGTGCCACAGAGTCTGGCACCAAATGCCTTGGTGGCCACTTGTAGAATGGGCTTCATTTTAATCTCCTGGCCCTTAATTTACACCAACTCTAAAGAGTTTATATACAGCACTCCTAATCTACAGTACATTAAACCAGCAAGTTAGAAATTAAACAAGAATGCTGGGGATATAGCTCAGTGGCACTGCTCCTGCCTCGCAAGTGCAAGGTCATGAGTTCAATCCCTAGTACAAAAGAAAATGAAAGAAATTAAACAAGAGCATCTATAATTTTAAAGCAGAGAGAAATACAGAAAATAATATTGTGTACAAAAAGAAAAATGCTCAAAATTTAAGCAAGCAATTTTTTTGCCTTACAGGAAGTTGTTTCCCCACTGCCCAACTATTGTGACTCTAAAGATATTATAGTTTTGCATCAAAAAATATTAGTAATGGTTATTAAGAAGTTTTAAAGTCATCAAAGACAGGCAAAATATGGAGCATACTTTACTTTGAAGGCTGAAACGAAATTAAAATATTTTGAATTTTAAAAATTAAAACAATAATAGTTTGGACACTTTTCTTCTGAAAAAAATTATGTTCATGTGGAGAATTTCATTTTCAAATATAACCAGATTAATAATGAATTATATGCTATACTCAGAAACTTTTATCCTTTTATATTATTTTCTATATTTCTAATTATTTTCTATTTTTCTGTTATAAATGATAACAATTATTCTAACCATGTCTAATATTTTATAGTCTTCTTTGTTCCTTTTTCCAATGTCCCCAAGTAAACTACATTTTATTAACTAGCTGCGCCTTCATATTTGTATTGATATTACCCCCAAAAATGTCTATTTTCCTTACAAGTAATACATTGCTAAGTCATGTGAAAATGATATATGACCCAGTTGCGGTTTTATCATTAATCATCAATCTTTACCTCCTGATTCTAAGAGGTAATTCGACATAGTCGCCTTTGCTCTTATAAGTGCTATATAGTTCCTAAAATCAATTTTATTTTAGTATTTCTCCTACTTTTAAAAAAATTCATAATTTCCACAACCACTTTGCAGATCTGCTACTTCTGTACCAGCTCAGAAGAGGCTAAACACAACATTTAGGTATAATTCACAAAGGACACCTTCACAAAACTTCACCTAAACACACAAAGGCACCTTCACTTTCCATTTTCACAGAGGAGAAAATTGTTATTTTTACATTACAAAGAAATTAGGTCACAATTCAACTTAAAATAACTTTCATATATGGAAATCTCATTGATAATTAAAATTATTGTTTTTATCAATATAATTTTTCTGAGCACATTTATTATATCCTGATATAAATAGAAATAAAATGTTATGTGACATTTACATTGAGGGCAACATTTCTCTTCCAAATAACAAATCAGAAAATATGACTGCAGTAGTAGATATGTAATAGAACTTTACTTCACTCCTCTGCATGCAAAAAGAAAATTATAGCCTATAATGGTGTAAAATAGTATTTAATTTTAAATAAGACAATAAAATTGCATTTGGGTAACTAAATGTTGGTGTTCAAAAGAATAATAAATATGGTTTGCAATAAATTTGTCAAACTTTACCAAATTGTTTGTAGTAAGAATTAGTAATTTTTTAATGTCTTGAAAAATAGTATGATAGCACCACATTAAAAAACTAATTTGGAGCTCTCAAACTTTTGTGTCGCACAACATTGATGGATGTATGTTATTATGATTGTTCAGGGTCATAGAATGTACAAGAGAATGAACTAAATATAAACTATGCTTTTCAGTTAACAATAATATATTAATACTGGTTCATCGATTGTAGCAAATGTTTCACATAAATACAAGTCAAATAATAAATGGAAATATGTGCAGGGATAAGAAGGTATATGAGAACACTACATTTTTTGATCAATTTTTCATAAACCTAAAATTACTCTTAAAAAATCTGTTAACTTTTAAAAAATGTAAAGCCACTTTGTAGCAAATTATTGAATTTTATTATCCCTTGTTAGTAAGGAACTTTTATATTTTGATTTAGTTCCTTAATTCAACTATCAATAATACATTTATTGCAAACTGATTAAAATGTGAAGAATGCTAGCACTACCTATTTCACTTAGGATCTGATAGCAAAAAATTGCATACCTTTACCACAGAATCAAAACATTAAAGTTAGCATTAAATTATAAGCTTATATTTAGCATCAGGGGTCCAAGAGCTCTGCAAGGGTAGGTCAGTGTTAGCAACCGAGCTACAAACCCATTTCTAATGATAAATGAAGACCTTAACAACAAATGTCCTCAATGCTGCAATTCTGCATTTTGATTTTCTTCTTTTCCAGTAAGAGAATGGTTTAATTTCACAGAAACTAAAGGATCATTAAATCCCATGTCGACATATTTTTTACTTTTTAAAGACAGAATTCTCACCTTTTCCTCAATTACAGTAAATAATATTGACTCTAAATGGTTCACCTCAGTTTTCCCTCAGAAAGCTTCACATAGAAATCCACAGATAGAATCTTTCTAATTTAAAGTTATTTATATAAATACTTTCACAACAATAAGAAATATCTGGCCATATTGGGAACAAATATTCACACATATTTGCTGATTATTATACAACCAAGTAACTTGGCAGCTTCTCTTTGCAGAAGAAAGTTTAGAAATGACAGAAAGGCAATCTTCATTCCAACACATTTTAATTTGTTGTTTAGAACTTTGTGGTGTCAGACTACAAACTTATAAACATGATTTTTTTAAATGCCTTTGGAAAATGTCCTACTACAATATTTATAGCTCATTATATTCAAAGTATAAAGCACTGACTTTTAAATCAGTTGCATGAATTATAACTCAATGCCACGATGACATGAATAATAATATAAAAATCAGATTCATAATTTACAAAAATGTTGGTTGATAGATTGAAAAATTGATATTTAAATCAGGCATTTAAAATGTATGAATAAAAAATTTTAATCAACATGAAAATATCATTTGGGGGATTAATGTTACAGTTATAAATAGAAATCTATGTATTTTTCACATTTTGCTGCCGCTGCCGATATTTACATGACAAAAGTTTAGACAATGCTCTGTTGGCAATCCAAATTATTTCAGATGTGACAAAACTGTCGTTAGCCAAACTCAGATTGAAAATATTAACACACTCATCACCAAGGAAGCCTCCAAGCGAAGTATCATTTGGATTTTCCATACCTTTATATCACGAAAATATTGTTCCCCAAATCTTGACCCCATCCATAGCTGTATACACAAACATTACATAAATATACATAAGTAAATGTAAACAGACACTTAGAGTAATTATTACTGAATCACATTTCTGATGTAAAATTTAAATCATTTGTGAACTTTTAGAAAATTTAATGGAGTTTATAGTTACCTTATGACTAAAATACTTGAAAGTGATAGGAAAGATGAATAAATGTTACCAAAGTATAACAGGGTCAACATGATTTTCAATAGATTTTTTAAATGAAAGCCATTCCCATCAATGTATCCTCACAGCAATGAAAGGAAAAATAACATCTTTCACCCATCCACTCACATTGTACAGGAGCAGGTTCAGAGTGCTGACAAATGTTCCATTGTTCTCTCTCACAGAAATAGCAGCTGAGGACCTAAAACAGAATGATAAGAGGGAAAGCACTTATGAGATTTTAAATTAAAATTTGTAATTATACCTAAATATTAGATTTCAGGCAATGAAACTATTGAGCCTGACATACCTAGAGTAGGTATTCTTTTTAAAATCACCAAATAGATAGATAATAAAAAATTAAATTTTATTTTCTCATTTTTCACATCATTTTTGCTTTCAACCAAAGTATATATCATTGCTTTGCTGTTAAAATCAGCTATAAGCACTTTTAAACATAAACAGAATAGAGCCTCCATGTTACCTTGAAACCAAGATTAAATAATAACTAGGACTTCATAATAGCAAATCCTAACACTGTAGAGGGAAGGTTTCCACACACTCACCCCATTTTGTGAAAAATATCTGACAAATCCAACAGATTATATTATGATGTGGATATATCCATGTCTTGAAGTACATATGTACTTTAGAAATAGTAAGTGAAAATATGACTATACACAATAACCTCAGTCCATATCTAAAGCTCCTGGGTTACCTTTCCAAGAGAATCAGGTACCCATACACCTCTGCAGAAGTCTTGGAGACTTCCTGGAGTCTGAAGCAGTGAAATCCAACATGAGAGCAGAAAGCAGAAAGGAACAGGCAGCGCCAGCAACGTAGTCATCAAAATGCCCTGCACACTGGAAACAAGGCCTTCAGAACTACTTGAGGACCCCAATTTGGGGGCAAAGGAAACAAGAAAAGCCAAGACAGACACATAGTTAGGTAGAATTACAGATAGATGATAGACATACATACATACATACAACCAGACTCAATATGGTGTCTAGTACATTGTTTGAGTTTAGCTATTCTCAACAAATCCTGCTATTATTATAAATGCCTGAAAAACAAAAAGGACTCAAACATAAGGACAACATGAGAAAGCAAGAATAAAATATGAACTTACGAAGCAAGCTGGGTGTTATTAACCAGGTATTCCAATGGATAACTACAGCTAAATTTGTAAAGAAGCCCAGGTAGATAACTGATAATTGTTGGTGGGTCTGGAGTATCAATGTATCCTGAAACATTTCCTATTTGTACTGAAGTTGTATTTCCATGAGAACTTACTCCAGGAATTGTGGATACCTATTAGAATAATAGATCAAGTTCAATGATTAAATGGCTATATATAAATGTAGGCACTTTATATGCAAATATAACATTGTACAGATCATTTTTTGGTTCTGATTCAATTGTAACATGGCAATTTGGGACTTATACACACATAATGTTGTTTATAAGTAATTATATGTCTATAATTAAATGACAAGATTTTAAGGACATACTTATATTTCATAAGTAAAAGAAAGATTGTATCTTCAGAGAGCTACAATAAGTAAATCCAAAATACTTATTGATAATGTCAAGATGCTTGGCATGGCTTAACATCCTGTTAATCTCACTCTGTGTTCCACATTGGTCCATATCTCCAGGTTACTAACCTTGGTAATAAGCTCTTGGCCCCAGGCCCATTTTGCATACTACATCATCTACCTCTCTCTTTGTTTTTTCACTATAACACCTCTTACTCTTTCATAGAATCTCATCTTCCCTGGTTAACTTCCCCCAGGGCCTCCACCATGTAATGAATCACTATATGGAAGCCAAAAGTATGGCACTTGAGCCACCTGCTCCCTTGGTAGTTCTTTTAGCCAGCATCAGAGTTCTCCATGGGCAGAGATCATCTTGTCCTGGTTCACTTTCACATCTTCAACACAGCACTGGCATCACGGCTTCAAAAATAAGTTTTGAGCAAATAAATGAGTCACAAATTTTTCTGAGGATTAGTCTTCTCAGGGTCTTCTTATGTAATTCATGGAGATTCTCATTCTCTTCCTGGGTAATAGTTCATAGGTGAGTTTCAGGGGAAATCATGAACTCCCAGAAGTCAGGGGAAAATGTTGTCTATGTTTGTATTTCTTTGAAACTGCTTAGCTTTCATTGGATTTTTGATCCTACAAAAATTGATGAACTACCATATCTGGAATAATCAGTAATGTTCCTGACTCCTAAAACCGAGAAAGGACATGGTTTCTTTTTCTACCATACTAAATATAAGATATAATATAATATTCAATAAATACTTTCAGGAGATATTACTGATCCCTATAATACTTAATTTTCAACAGTAGAGAAAACTTTACTCATGAACCTAACAGCACATAGGCAAAACTGAGGCAATTATTTAGCTAATTTCCAAATGGAGCAAGAATCCTTGCAAATGGAAATACTTTTATTCTAACTCAGTGATCTAGTAGTCAAATTTTCTCTTGCAGGAATGTATTTGGAGCAGATTCAAAGCTGGTGATATCTAAGGAAAAACATTAAAAATAAGGAAATCTTTCCATCCTCTTACTGTTTGCCTGATTTGCTAGCTAAGTACACCAATCCTGTCTGTGAACACACACACACACACAAACACACACACACACATTTTTATATTGAAGTAATTCAGCTTCATAAAAAAGTAAAGTGCATTACACAGAGAGAAGAAACACTTTTTCTTGGCTTTCTCCTGGATTATTTTCTCAGCAACAAAACAAGCTTACTTAAATCCATCAAGAAAAGGCTTTGGGGCATTGTAGGAGGAGGAGAAATGCCTCTGATCCCCACTGACTCCCTCCCTACCCAAGGAAACAAGATATGCAATAATCAACCTGCCTCCCTCTCCCTTAGGCCCACTTCATAACTTCTCTACACACAACTCAGAGAGATAAATAAACATTTTTAATAAAAAGAATCAACAATACTCAACCTTCAGGCATGAAAATGGTCATGGGCACAATATTCTACCTGCCCTTTGGGAAAAGATAAAGATGGAAATTCAAGTAAATCTCTTTCCCTGTCTTCTAGCTCCCAAGAAATCTTAGAAACTATGACCTTAGAAACATCAAGCCTTCTCTTTTAGTCCTAAAAGTAATTTATTAAGGGTGTAGAAGGGTATAGGAGCCAATTTCTTCTTCACTGTGCTAAGTGGTCATGCACATTGATTTCTTTGTGTTTGCTAGAGTTTTCTAATAAAATTGTACATAAGCAAAATAAAATATAGTAGTATGTGAATTTCAGTGCAAATAATACCTCTCTCAAAGTGTTCATGTGAATTCACTTTAAATCCCCAGAGAATCAATTCCTTATTCAATTCTAATTTTGGTTCAGTAAATTAATAAATAAGTGAATAATCAATAGTTCTCATTCTGGGTGGAAATGTTCACAGCACTGTTTTGATTTTTAAAATGACTGGAGAGAATGTACTACTAGGATCTCATGGGTTAGACTGATCATGATAAACATTTTGAAATGCAAAGGACAGTCCTACACAATGGAGAACTTCACATCAGAAATACAGACTTTTTTTTTTTTTTTTACACAAAACACTGGTGTGGATGATGTTCTTTGGTAAACATGAAAGAAGCTCCAAGTTCTCAGTGTTATCTTTAACCTTCTTTTCTGAATGAGGTCATTAAAGCAAAATAGGCCAAGTGGTTCACAGCCAAACTCACTAGAACAAACATTATTTTTAAGATCAGATAATTCTGTAAAAAGCCCAATGAATATGGCTAGTGACAAACTGCAGAGAAGCTCCTGTCAACGTCACTCACACAAAGAATGCTGCTCAGGGTAGCACAGCTGACCTTAAGCCCCTCAACTGCCCAGCTACTGTAAACAGAGCCATTACCGGAAGACAGAATTTTGTATTTGGAAGTGCAAGCCTGACACAAGGAAAAGCCAGTGATTTGTCCAGTTTTATTGGAATTTTTTTCCTTGGAAGATAGATTGGGCTTCATAATATGAAATTTATTTATGATTCCAGATGAAAACACAATTCCGCAGTAACCTTACCACTAAGTTGTTTCCACAGCCCTCCAAGGTGCTCAGATTGATGATGAAAATGACCACTGCTGGAAAAGTGTTGTTATTGATGAATCCCCTGCAGTGGGAATCCCCATGCCTTCCGTTCAGCGCCAGATCTGTTTCAGAATAACCGGAGAAAAGTACTGTGCAAAAATTAATCTTCATCGTAATGGTCTGCACCCCACAGTAGACATTGATATCTCTCTCAGCTGAAACAAAAATAAATAAAAAACAAATGTTAGTCACAAAAAGCACAGTAGAGAGTACACAAATAACTTTTACATCCTCTGATGCATTTATAATCTCTTCAATCTAAATTATTTTCTAGTCTTGAATACATGATAATCATGTAATAATGTATAAATCATTAAGAAAAGTAGCCAGGAAAAATAGTCTTTGACTTAGTTATTTAGCGAATGTAGAAATTATAGTTCACCTGTTTCTTTGTGTCTGCTGTTCAGTGAATATGCATTAAACGTCAGTCAAGTACTGTTGAATGATAGAATTAAATGGAAAAATCAGGTTGCTGAGGAAACTCAGAACTAGTTACAGAATTACAAATGATACATTCTCACAAAGAAGAAGCAGTTTTAAATATTCACCCTAAATCAAATTGTTAAGCACTCTTGCATATGCTAACTCATCGAGGATGTAGACACAAAAGCCATCCAGCAGAATTTCATTCTATAGAGCATAAATTAAATCACATTAGATAAAGGCAATGAAAAATAGTGTGCTGGTATTATAAACTATCTTACTCTGGAAGAAAACTTTGCAAACGACTATCCTTGCCTCAAGAAAAGAATGAACTAGGCATGTAAATGTAAAACATAATTTGCAAGGTTTTCCATGACTATATGATTTATCAGTGATAAAGCCTCTCCTAGATCTGTAGACATGAGCAAACACATACACTCACATGCAAACAATCTTCTCATGTGTCTATTATTTTCTACAGATAATGAAGAAAATGTATGCAGAACATGGAGAGTTTGGATGCTAGGGAACATCCCAGTGGCAGAGATTTTCCTTTATCAGTGTGGGTAATTTTTATGGACTGAATTATGTCCTCTCCCCCAAAAAAGATACGGTGAAATCCTAATCTCACTCCTTTGAGACTTTGGGAAAGATTGTTATAGAAGAGAAGTTAAAAGAGAAATTCATACTGGAGCAGAGTGGGTGCCGATCAAATGTGACCAAAGTCCCTAAAAAAGGAACATGCTGTGAAGAAACAAGCACACAGGAGAGCACCGGTGAGGACAGAGGGTTGGAGTGATGCACCCAGAAACCCAGGAACCCCAAGATTGTCCTGGCACACGACCAACAGTAAGGGGCATGAAAACGTTCTTCCAGACTTTCAGAGGGAGCTTGGCCCTGCCTCCCGTCATTTCTGGCCTTTAATTCTCTAAGACAGTAAATTTCAATTGTTCCAAATTAACCCAGGAGATAATAAGTTTCTGTGGTTTTAAATCACCGTTTTTGTATTACTTTGTTATGAAAGTGCTGGGAAGCTAGTACATTAACCTTACCACTTTTAAACCCTATCTCACCAATGAAACAAAAAATCTGAAACAAGCATCGGATTTGCAAAATGTAGAAACAAACAAACAAGAATTAATTATATTATCTGGAAAAATTATCTCGATTGTTCAAAAAAGGAAAACCGTACAAAATAAAATGTATTTTTGGCAAACAATAGGATGTTCACCTAAGAAATATGTAAGTGGCATTCAAGATTTTTAGCATGGAATAAATTTCCAATAACCCAGTTCTAATTTAAGAATAGAAGTGTTCAATAGCATGTCTTTTTGGAATATTTATTGTCTCTACAGCTTTTTTTGCTAGAAAACTGAGTCATATTTTAAGGATATCAATGAATCAATAAGAAATTTCTATGATTGATAGTAATTTTAAATTACCTATAAAGAAAAAGGGAAAGTATTTTCCCGGACAAAAGGCAAGTAGTAGGCTAAGTGTTATAGAATATTGAAAGAAATATTCCTTTTGTAGATAAAACAGTGAAATGACTTAATTAAAAAATATACCCTATCAACATAAAACATAACAAATAACTTTGAAATTTGGAAGACTATCTCTATAGTTTTCATTAACATTAACTGTTTAAATGCAGCCAGAATTTTTAAATGATGTTCTCCTAAAATAAGAAAGTTAATTTTTAAAATGTTGATTACATGTCTATGAACTTCAAAATACATTTTAAACATATCAACTTTTTCTTCACTTACATGTTATTCCTTGGCCCGTGCCACCATTATCTTTACCCTGGAATATTGTATTAACCTCTTTAGTGGTCTCTTTATTTTCCACTTTTAACCCCCTTCAATTAGCATAGTTGTTAATACATTAATCCAGTCATGTCAGCTTCTTACTGAGATCTTCAAGAATTTTTCATTTCACCTATGCCAAAGTCCATATCTTGATCCAGATCTGTGGCCTGGCTACCTCTGTATTCTCATCTCTCTTTTCTATTAATGTAGAAAAAATGTAATTATCAGCCTGTTAGATGTCAAATATCCTGAGCTCGTGATCCCAGGACATCAAGGAATGAAGTCACTAACCAAAGAAGGACACTAGGAGAGTTTTATTGGAATAATAGGAGAGGAAGAATAGCTCCTGGATTTCCAGGAGGAGTCCAGAATGGATAGCCACCAAAGCCCTTTGTGGCAGGTAGTTTTACAACAGTCACAATGTGGGCACAACATGGGTCAAACCACAATCAGGTTAGAAGTATAGGTTTAGAAGTATGACTGCTTAGCTAATATTGATACTACAGGAAAATAAGTAGCATAGCAGGGGTTCATGGAAAGAACAAAGATCATTTTGGGGAATGGAGAGTTCCAGATATTCTACGCACCTGGGCATCTGATGCCAGTCTGGACCAGGTGGCACTAATTGCAGTATAATCTCATGTTGCTATTTAACCCTCAGGGAGGTATGTAGGCCTGGCTATTGCCTCTCCATCTTGCAACTCCAGCCACACTCTTTGATGTTTTTATTTTTTATGCTTATCTCCTTGAGGGCCCAATTCCTTTCTGTATATTTTTTTATAGTAACAAAGAATTTATTATCATTTGTAGATGAAATAAATGTACCATCCCATATGTGAAAGGCTTTAATAAGCCTTAAGCATTTTTCAAATTGAACCAAGGCACCACCAACTGCCTGTTTTATGCACCCATTTCTAGTAAAGAAACTAACACTTCCTTCAACATCAGTTCTGTACTGTTTTTGGTTTATTATACACTTCCAAAACAACAAAAGTTTGCCAATATGTGCAAACACAGTGGTCTCTTCACAGTACTGCTTAATCATCATCTTCCTCTTCCTCTTCTTCTTCCTCAAAGCTGTCTTCAAAGCCCTCACTGTCTTCCTGGTCTTCATCCCCCTCTATTGCTGTATCCTGCTGAGGGTGATTTTCTGGCACAGGCTTATGAACCTCCAACTTTAGTGTTTTAATCTGATCCAAACCCATATACGAGTCTGATCTCAAAACCACTGTATACTGATAATTGCCAGGCTTGCTGGGTGCAGGAAATTTTAGTTCTACCTCTTCCATTTCTTTTAGTGTACACACATGATATGGCATAGATGTTAATGTCTGTTCCTTACTATCTGCAATATAAAGCTACCACCATTCTTGTTTTTTCTCAGGAAAATAAAGACTATATACAGGATGTGTGATCTTTGATTTGGTTTCCAAAAGAGCTCGCTCCTTTCGCTGTATACCTTGTTGTAATTTTTGCCATTCCATTTCATCATCTTTGTTCTGTTTTTCATCTTGCTATCAGACTCTCTGTCACTACCATCATCTTTTTCACTCTGTGACTCTCTATTGGTTTCTTCTTCTTCAGCATCACTGTCTTTGTCAGAAACTTCTTCTTCGTCCTCCTTTACTGCAGCTTCACTCCCAACTACTCCATTTGCCTGCTTCTGTTTCTGCTGCTTTGACTGTGGTAATGTCACAGGTGTAGTTTTTTTTTCAAAGGCTTGTTTGTTTGGGGGTTTTTTGATTTACCAGTTTTCTTGGGCCCTTTACTCTTCTGCTGCCATCCTCCTTTTGTATTGTTCTTGTTAGCATCACTTTGCCCATCTTCAGCAGGCTGTTCCTCAGCGGCATAGATGGATTGCTCCTTTTCAAATACTTCTGCCATTGTTCGTCTTGTCAGTTTAACCAACACTGTAACTAGGGATCCTACTGTGATGTTATTGCTGTCTTCATCATCCAGTACTTGTGATTTTATATCCATGGTTACATATGGAAAACTCCCAAGGACAGCCATAATCTCTTCATATTTTTCATCTTCAAGGAAGTGCAGTAGACTGTGATGATCTGGTTCTTTCAAACTCACCAAATCTTGCATAGTTTTAATTTTGTATTTTTTGTGATTAGAAACTCTTCTAAGATTGTCCTCTTCAATGTGAGGGAGCTGTAGAAGGGGAGATTTAAACTGCTGAAGGCCTTGAACAGTCATCTGGGAAAGCTTCATGCAGTTTTCTAAGGATGCCAAAGTTGGAGCATGAAACTCCCTTTCTTCATGGCTCCAGGCCATTATTATTAGTTGGCAGATTACATTAACCATTTCTTGAAGTAGAGCAGGGCATTTTTTTCAGCATAAATTGCTGATCTTCTTCAAGGGTCTCAGGAATTTTCATTCTAGCAAGATGAGATTGTAAAAGAACTCTGGCCTTCAGGCTATATGGGCAGGTACGTGGAGGCTCATTCGTTTTTAAATTAATGCTGCCAATTTCTCTGATCAGCTGTTGTATTAGAATATTATCTGTTGGTCTGCTTGTGGCATCTTTATTGTACTGAGGATCAAATTCAGAAGCTCCAGCCAAAACCATGATAAGACGTTTCACGTCCATATTTTGGGTTTTATAAACAAAGTATGTATAAATTTATGTTGTGCATATTAAAATCTGGTCTCCACTATAGCATATTGAGTGATATCACCAAGAACCCACAAGAACTGGAAGGATAACCATAAATACCAACCCATATACAAGTAAAACTAAAATTGAATTTTTCTGGTCAACTATCCACACTGGCAAGGCGATTCCAAAACCTGTGGCTTGAGACTCATCTGGATTTCCAAATTCTTCCCGATTTTTCTGGGACTCTTCATCTGTTAAAGCGGCATAAGCTTTTGCTATCTTCATGAACATAACTTCATCACCTCCTTTATCT